CTGTACATCTGCTCCAGAAGCATTTTTATTAGGATGCAGTTGATCTACCTCTGCATATAAATGTAAGTTTTGCATTTTATTTTTATCTTGAAGATTTTCTTGAGGTTTATCGCTATGTCAACAACGTCATACAGCTTTAAAAAATATCAATATTGATTTGAAATTGAGAATCAAGCGGGAATGAATAATCCTCGTATCCTGCTGATCATGAAGAAAAAGATATTCTCTGTTCAGAGCCAGGAGGGCATTAAATCTATGTTAAAGTATATGAGTCAATGCCCAACTGGCTCCAAACATGTGATATCTTTTACAATCTCTGTGCGAGATATCGATTAGTATCGATGTATATGTAACCATAACTGTGCAAGCGTGATATTATTCGTAGAATTCCATCGATTTTTAGCTATATTTTCAGGATGCATATGTTATTCATAAAGGAAAGATTTCATTTGATTTGATTTTGCTTCTGATGATTTGATTAAGACAGCCTTCCTTTATCCCATTTTTATCACTTGTCCTACCCCGGGAATAAACAAAAATAGAGTTATGGCAATTATTAGTTATCAAGCTTATCCTCTGGTTCAATCAGATTTGTTATCATCTTGCATTTAAAGCGGAGTTTAATTCATCATGAGTAAGAAAGAAGGAGGGAGAGGGGGCGGAGAGAGAGAGAGAGAGAGAGAGAGAAAGAAAGAAAGAAAGAAAGAAAGAAAGAAAGAAAGAAAGAAAGAAGAGAGAGGGACAGAGAGAAAGAGACTGGACATACTGGACAGAGAGAGAGAGAGAGAGAGAGAGAGAGAGAGAGAGACTGGACAGAGAGAGCAGGTAGAGAGACAGAGAGAAGGAGGGGACCACAAAAGAGATATGGGAGCTGCGAATGCTATACTCCTGGGATTAATACATCGTCTAAAACTGGGAGCAATGGGGAATAGATGCAATCCACACCTTCATTTATTAGATGCAAGTAAAAACCAAGTGCTATTGAGAAACTGGAACATTTCTGCACAACAAATATTCAGGATAGAGATGGAAAGGTTTTGTAACTCATGAATTCTGTTTCAAAGGGCACAAGGAGTCCCCTTGGATTAGAGATTAGAAGACGTTATGAATAAGCCACCGACTGGCCTGCCTGCCTGTGTCCCTGCTCCCGACCGATTGCTGGACAGTTCTTCAAAGGTCAAGCGGAGAATAATAAACTCTCTCCAGTTGTCAGTGCCGATGTATCTATCCTTAAGAGTAAGAGAGTGAATACTCTATAAAGGAACCCTTGCTTTCTTCACAGAAAAAACAACCATTCTTCTTGCGGCTTCCCTTCCTCCCCCATCACATCTTGTTTTGAATCGCACTCCTCCGTGGTAATGACTTAAAAGTCTCAACTTCCAGTCCGTGATACGAGACGTCACCAGCGACGGAAGAGAGGAATCCGTCTTCCCGGGTGTTTTTTTGTCGAGGATGAGAGGGGGGAGAAGAAGATGGAGTGTGATTCACTTTGAAATTGGTTTGTTTTGGAGACCTCGGCATCACTCACTGCTATGAAACGAAAGACAGTGAAGATGCAATGTGATGGCTAAATACAGGATGTGATGCTTTAGAGGTAGAAGGGCAATAAGTCATATTCTAAAAAACGGAGCTAACACCCTTCCGGCTCCAAACAGAAGATATTTTGATCCGTTTAAAATGAAAAATAACAATGAGGAACCCACTCAACGTTTCATGAGCCGCTTTATAGCTTCGAAACAATCATAATTATTTTCTCCACTCCTAAACGACACCTGTTGGTGTAAAATGGGGACTAGAAAGACATTAAAAATGAGTTGAGGCCTTTTTGCCCCAGGGTAGATGGCGAATGAGAATTAACATGTTGACATCTACTGAAGATTAATTGCATTACCAAGGAACTGAAATATCCGCCATTTAAGCCCTTTTTGAGAAAGAAAAAAAAGGATAGCTGGAATATGCAGAGCCTGTATGGGGTAGTTTACATTTAGTTAATATTTTGCGATGACTTCCAATTTCTCTCTCTTTCTCTCTCTCTCTTCAATATTTCTCTTTCTCTTTCTCTCTCTCTTCAATATTTCTCTGTCTCTTTCTCTCTCTCTTCCTTCAATATTTCTCTGTCTCTTTCTCTCTCTCTTCAATATTTCCGTCTCTTTCTCTCTTCAACATTTCCGTCTCTTTCTCTCTCTTTTCAATATCTCTGTCTCTTTCTCTCTCTCTTCAATATTTCTCTTTCTCTCTCTCTTCAATATTTCTCTCTCTCTATCTCTATCTCTATCTCTCTCTTCAATATCTCTTTCTCTCTCATGATTACTCATTGTCATCGGCCACTTCTTGTGATTGGGGAAGCTGGGGGAGGATGGGAGGGGGGGGGGGGGTGACAAATCAGACCAATTGATTGACAGGTGGAAAATTAGCATAGGCATGTAGCGTGAGTGGATCTCAAGAGGCTGTGCGCTCGTGCTCAGGGCAAATTGGCAACAAAGATCAGCAGGAAAGGAAGAAGAGAAGATTTTTGTGTTTACAGAATAGGGGATGGTGGGATGGGATAAAAGGGGTGTTGATTGAAGATGTTGATGAAGGAAAGAAAAGGATAGGGAAGGAAAAGAAGAGGATGAGTAGGATGAAGATGGAGAGGAAACAAGATGGGGCAGTATGATGAGAAACATTCTTATGCAACAGTATGAAAAAAAGACATATATTCAAGTAGTGATGTACATTTAGATGTAAATGACAGAACTTGATTATAAACTAATGATGAATTAAAAACAAAAAGAAAAGAAAAGGATGGGGAAGGAGAAGAGGAGGATGAGAAGGATGAAGACGGAGAGGAAAAGGGAAAGGGGCAGTATGATGAGAAAGTTCTGATGCAACTCAATAAACCGAAGACAAATAATTTGCAGAGAAAAGATTAGTGATTTACATGTAAAAACAATTATATGTAAATGGCAGATCTTTATTTTAAAATAACGATGAATAAAATACATGTTCTTGGAAATTAGTTTAAAGATGGAGAGGGGAAAAGGTGTGTCAGTGTGGATGAATCTAGAATGATTATTAGGAGGAGGATTAAGTGAAAAGACAATGAATGTAGTGAAGAGATGGTTTAATGAATGAGGAAGACCAATTATGTGGATGTCAGGAAATCGAGAGGTGAAATGATTGAGGGGACAATCGATGAAACACAATGAGTGAAGCAGAATTAAGAGGAGTAAAGTAAAATTGACAAACTTGACCAAACGTGGGCAGTGGTAGGGACAAAATGTTAGTGACAGAGAGTGATATAGAAGGTGGTTAAGAAGAAAATTAGCAAGGTTAGAAACTGTACGGAATGATGGTAGAGGGGGGAGATTAAGAATGAAAGGAAGATAAATTGGTTGAGAAAAAGAACATGGCAGTGAATAGGAGGAGAGACCAAAAAATAAAGAATGTGTATGACATTAGAAAATATGTTATGCTTCAGAGAGGCATACAGACATGAGCATTGGCAAAAATCAATACAGCGGATCCATAGAGGACCTTCTGTTACATTCATCAACACTTGTAGGATGTTTTCCATCTCGAGCATGAACAGATTTTTTTGCTTATCTAATCTTCATTCTTCACACAAATACTCCCTGATTCCCTCAAAGCAAAAATCATTAGAGGAGCTCGGGGCATTTTTTTAAGCCCAACGATTTTCTCCTGTCACTGGGATGCGGTGGAGGCAGAAAAGATTGGTTTCCATGGCGATAAGATCCTCTCGGAGCCACGGTGAGAGAGAGGGTTGACCCGGTGGGGGATGAGTCAGGAGGGGTATTGATCTACGTCTGATGTGGACATGTTGATTGGCAGGCGGCGCACAGGCCAGAGGGGTTATGTTTTGCGTCAAGTGGACACGGAGGCTCGCTTTTATCATCCATGGATGGGGTTGAGCGTGTTTGCTCGTCGCTTCCACTCACTCGTTGGTTCAGTCGAAAGAGACGAATCGTTTCTGATTTCCCTCTTACCCGGTCTTATTTGCTCTATTACTATTTGCTCAGTGACTTAATTTTTTTCAGGAGAGGCTTCACGATGAGTAGCCGTTTGATAAATAGACAATGTTGAAGCTGCGTTCATTCACTTACTTGATTACTGGAAATGCAGATATCTTAAATGCATGAGAAGTAAATTAATTGATGCGTGTATGAGAACAAGATCAGATGATGCAGACTTTTCCAAAATCTAGTAATGAAACTGTCTGATGCAATGAGCTTAGTCATTATACTCCCATGTACATATGGCAAAATCGTTTCCTAATCTATTAGATCCAATGCTGAATTTGCCATGTTCCTTTCCCCATCTCTCTCTCTCTCTCTCTCTCTCTCTCTCTCTCTCTCTCTCTCTCTCGCTTGCCTTCCTTTGCTTTCTCTTTCATTTTTTTCTCTGTCTCCCAGTTTTGTATATGAAAATGTGGATTGAAAATTGAAATACATGTAAGCAAGAAGGATTTTAAGAGTGGGTGAATTAAAAAAAAAAAAAATGATCATTTGTAAGCTCAGATGCCAGTCAGCCCTATGTATAGAGAAACTCACGTTTAGTTAAGAAGAAGGTTGAGTTCTGGGAAAGGTGAAAGGAAAAGGTGAAAAATAATGTGTGAGCTTTTTCATTCTTTTTATGTTAGTGTGGAAGAGTGTCATAGAAAAAGAAAAGGATTGCACTTCAAATGCCCATACATGTATATTCGAAACATGACAACAGCTTAAGTTTGTGGACCACACTTTCATGCCACATGGTTGTGTAGCCCCATATACACATTTCTGTGTACAATGCATGCAACTTTATTTATGAATTGATTCTGACATATTTTGATGATGAGACAATAACAAAGCATCATTTTATTTTTTACATCATACACTTTTTTGTGTATGGTGCATGCAACTTTTAGCAAGACTATTTCATTGACGATAGTGATTTATGAATTGAGTCTTACCTATTTTAACGATGAGACAATAACCAAGCATTTTGTGTTTTTTCTTCTTCAGTTGGAAGCAGAGAAGTCTGCTCCGTTGGATCGTCCTATCGTATTATTGACCGGTCAAGATGCCCATAAGCTGATGGAGATAGTCAACCAGGTGGAGGAGGCCTGGGCTAGGATACAACCCCCTCCTCAACTCAACCCAGACCCGGTAAGTCTCACAGTACCCAACATTAGGGACTTTTCGATTTGCTCGTTCACTAGTAGACTGCTACATATGCAGTCATTTTTTAAAGCAGGGTTGTTGAGGCACGCTGACTGTTGTTTGTTAACCGTTTGATTTCACATGACGACGTCGCTCGCTCAGTGATGTCGTGTATAATGTTCACGCTCACACAAAATTTGATCGAATAGCTAAAGATCCAACACCAAATTCGGCGCATGGGACTGTACTCGATGATTATGCTGCAACATTTGGCAATGCATAGATAAAATGTGTTCATTTTATGGATTAATCTGCAACAATCTAGATTTAAGGGAAATTACAGACAAGAGAATGTGGTAATTTTAGAGAGCTTACGCTTCCACGTCTCTCCACTTGCAGAATTAGGTCAATTGGGTCCATTTTGTGACGTCAATATGCTGTTTCATATCTTAAAAAAATTGCTTACGAATATTACCGTCACATATTTTGAAACTACTGCAAAACAGGGGAGAACACGTTCAAGAATTCTGCTACGAACGATGAGCCCCCTCCAATTAAGGAAAAATATTAAACTTAATATCGTTGAATTTCCAATTCAGTTCTCTGATGACTCTAAGTAAATGTGATATAATTACAGGTTCGGAAAGATTTAATCACATGACTAATCATGTGACTGATTCATGGAAACAGTCTACTCCCCAAACTGCCGGCTCATTTTCAAACCGTGTAATTGTAGAGAATCTCTGGAGAATACTGGGAGTCAGCTTAAGCAAACAACAAGCAGATGAAGGGAAGGAAAGTGGATGAAGGCAGGACGACTAGGTCGACTTCGATTCCAAAAATTACTTCTGTCACTTTCACCTCCCAAAACTAAATGAGATTCTTGTCCAACAAATTGGTTTTGAGAAGATCTCGGTCAGAGGCTGAAACAAACAAAAGAGGGAGGGAGATGAAGGGAGAGAGGGATAATGAGGAAAGAGTGGTAGAGAGAGGGAGGAGGGGGGGGGGGGGGGGAGAAAGAGGAGGGAAAATTGTAATAGTGTCAAATATCAGAGCACGGAAATCTGAGGCAAAGCAGCATGCACCGTGAAACCACATCTCATGTGACTGGATTGACAGTGTGCCTCCAGCATGAAGCGAAGATTTGCTCAATTTTCCATTCCTTGCAACCCCCCCCCCCCCCCCCCCCCCCGAAAAAGAATTGTAACTCAAACACCCATTTTCTCCAATTTCTGCTCCATTAGGGAGAAGGTGATTGTCCTCCTCCTCGCGTAGATTAGAAAATGAATTCTGTTAATACCTCACACGGCTGCGGGGAATAGTGCAGACAGAAAAAAATGAAAAATGCAAACTTACATTTCAAGCAATCTCTCTCTCTCTGTCTCTCTATGTCTTACACCTTCACTGTTACTGTCTCTCTCTCTTTCTTTGTTTCTCTCTCTCTCTCTCTCTCTCTCTCTCTCTTTCAATGTCTCTCTGTCTCTTTCTCTTACATGATCTCATCCTACCTCTCACTATCTCTTGCTATATATACACTTACATCCCTCTCTTTCTCCTTCTCTCTCTCTCTCTCTCTTTCCTTTTCTCTTTCTCTCTCTCTCTCTCTCTCTCTCTCATCCTCCCCCTCACTGTCTCTCACTCTCTGTCTCTTTCTCTCTCTCTCTCTCTCTCTCTCTCTCTCTCTCTCATCCTCCCCTCACTGTCTCTCACTCTCTATCTCTCTATCTCTTTCTCTCTTTCAATATTTCTCTGTCTCTTTCTCTCTCTCTCTCTCTCTCTCTCTCTCTCTCTCTCTCTCTCTCATCCTCCCCTCACTGTCTCTCACTCTCTATCTCTCTATCTCTTTCTCTCTTTCAATATTTCTCTGTCTCTTTCTCTCTCTCTCTCTCTCTCTCTCATCCTCCCCCTCACTGTCTCTCACTCTCTATCTCTCTATCTCTTTCTCTCTTTCAATATTTCTCTGTCTCTTTCTCTCTCATGATCTCCTCCTACCTCTCCCTATCTCTCTATCACTGTATCTTTCTCTCATGATCTCCAAAAAACCTTTTGTGGTATTTTTTTTTTGTATGTGTCCTACTTCTGTCTCACTTGAGATGACTTCTCCGAAAAGCTTTCAGAAATGAAATTCATATCACTAGTGATCCCTAAGCATGACACTTGTTACTGCTTCAAACACACAAACAAGGGTATTATATATTTACATGTATACTGGTGACGAGATACGATTCGTTTTCCTTTGCGTCGGTCAGGTTTGGAATAGATACGGAATTGAAATTCATGACTACTCATCTGTGAGTAATATAAAGCTGTGACTTTTCTGCTGAAACGAGGGGCCATTAAAATGCATGAAAAACTTTAGTAAGCTGTCTCTCAATTCAGCCCCGAGGCGCTGGAATATGTATTCTTTTTTTCCTCCCTTTTTCACATGTTGTCAGTATAATAATAAAGTTTATTTATGGCCAACAGCAGAACAGAAATGAGGGAAATTAATTTATTGCAACCATCTTTATATGAATGACTAATTTGCATCTGTTATTAGTGACTTCGTTATTTGTATTTTGGAAGTCATGGCTAAATATTAACTGAATGCACGTGCTAGTGGAATCTGTAAATCAAGAACAACTTTCAGGAAATGATGTGGAATATGTATTGAAATCACATCACATGTAGTCTTTTTTATGGATAATGAACTGAAGTTCCATTTCTTCCAATCTTTCACAGCTGATAATTTATTATTTCATATTTTGTTCCCTTGTCAATTTTACCTCTCATCACATGATACATTGGAATAGAGATATAAGGTTAGTATATTTTATGAGGAACCTAAATGCTGCAAGCAACCTTTGTTGCATTTACATGTAGCTATGCCAATTAATGCTAATGCCATTTAACTTGTCTTTTAGTGAACTTTCAATGATAAGGTGATGGTATTGATATTTTAATAACATAGGTTAATTACTATAGAATGCTGTGTTGAATTCCTGTTGCTGTGTTTTAGTCATAATTGATGAGTTTTCTCAATCCTGACGTCACCATCGCTTCTATTCTCAAAATTTTCTCAGAGAGATTTTTTTTTGTTTTAATTATTACTTTGTTGTTATTCATAACTAGAGTCTAATCTGCACTGAGTTTCAGTCATACTGCAAGATTCCCATATTTCTGTTGATTTTGAATTCATTTTTTAGCCTTGTTATTTAATTCTTGACTTGCTGATGGGATATTTTGCTGAAAGGTTCCAGGCTTGTTACTGAGTTGTTGTCTTTTTCAATGAGGCCAATATTGCTGGTGGGTTTTTCTAACGCGGGTATAGGCCTAGTCGCTGTTTCAAATCTTCCGTCAGTGTTCGGAAAGTTTGCTGACGTAGAGTCTTGCAGAGTTTGGAAACGTTTTTGTACTCTAATTATGGTAATGGGTGTGATTATGATGATGATAATGAAGATGGTCATGATGGTAATAATTATAATAGAGTGTTTATTATGCCAACTCCATATGGATGATGCACTTAAGGTGCGAAAGAAAAGAAGAAATAAGAACATGACAAAAAACACAAATGAGACAGCTTACTAACTAAAAGTAGATCTACTGGAAAACAATGTTGAACAGATGAGATTGGACATTAATAAGCCTTCATATATTAGCTGAAAGGTTTTATACAGTTCAATATAAGACATTCAACTGATGTCAGTATGATAATGTCTTGTGGTATGCTATAATCCTTTATGGCAAGCATGCAAACTTTATATATGCTACTTAGGCTGAATTTGGAAAATAGGTTACTTATTAGGTGAGACAGGTGCTACTTTTGATTCTGACATTTTTATTTCCTGTTCAGACTTAGAACATATATATATATATACAAAAATCGTTTGAAGAAACATCAAATCAAGAATCATTGTATAGCGAAAGGAACGTACAGACCAGAAAATAACATGTGACGCAAATATTGTAATAAGAGGTCATTGATTTTTGTACAATATGACATTCGGACTCGAGCGAGAGTCTGATTCTTTATTGAGTTTTCATTCTAAACGGCGCTCAAATGTACGTTTTGTAGTACAAAATTGCTGTATATGACATTTAGACTAGAGAAAATAGTAATTACATGTCGTATAGCTATGATCTCCTGTAGCTGTATAGCCGTATAATTCTTGTATAGTGATATGATTAATTCTGGTAGGATTAGAATTTTAGAAAGCAAGAGAACGAGTGCCTGGAGATCTTAAGATTCATTGGCAAACCACAAGAAACCTAACCTGCAATCAATCATGGAGAGGGCTTCGGACGTAACAAAGTCGAATGATCAATCGTCACGGTTTCACCCCAAGAAGAGTCACACGATCTCGCAATTTGAATCCTTGTTTGTCAAATTGGCACAAATCATGCATCTGCAACCTTTCTGGGTTGATCTGCAGTGGATCTTGCATAGTGGTTTGATAATGATGAATGTGGAGGGGGTGTGTGCGGGTTTACTGGCGTAAATAATAATTTTCTGTGTGCTGGAGTTCTCTTAGGATTTGCTGTTGTCTCAGGTGGGATTTTAATAACATTAATATTCAAGTATTTGATTGTTATATTTCCACTGCTCTTTTCCAGTTTACGAGAGTTATTTTGGAGCTTTCCGGAGCTAATTCACGGCTTCCATGTATTTGTTTTTGCTGGTGGGCACTCGTTTTAGTATGTGTGTGCAAGCAGACTTTTAAAGTGACTCGGTAACATTGCCTCAGATTCTGAAACAAAATCCTGGATTTAGCTCATGCTGCAGTCATACTTATAGACCTACCGGTATAGGTCAGTCAGGAATTCCATGACTTTTACAAGCCGATCGCCTGTCTGATTATCAAGATATTTATGATCGGAAGTCAAAATTTAATTTTTCTTTTTCCTAAAAGTTTTTATAACACTACAGTCTATTGGGAAAAATGGGTATGGTAAAACTGGTCACTCAAAGATTTTTACTTTATGAGGCACTTCATGATTATTTTGAAGCGCAATTTTGTTAGGGCTTC